TCGGCCTCATCAAATTTGAATGTGTGGCCGGGTTTCGTCGAATGAGCCGCAAATTGAGAACTAGCATCATTTCGCCGCACTGCTGCCGCATGTTCGGCAATTCGCGTCTTGAGAACCCTGCCAGTTTCTCCGACATAGTTGCTTTGTCCGCAACTACAGGATCTGGAATGAGAAGGGGGGTTAGACTAGGGTCGATAAATGAAGGCTCGTTATGCGGCATTGAGCCGGTCAAAGAGAGAGCGCAGACGCATGTATGCGGTTAAACGACCGTTAGCCAGGCCAAGCGCGCAGCTTGCAGGAAGCTCTTTTATGCACACAAGTCCGGCTTCCTCAACCTGGTAGCGGTCGCTTCTGATGTTACTAGCAGACGCTGCCACAGGAACTTTGAAGAGTTGGGTGGGACCCCATAAATCACCCGGAAGGCTACATGGTGGTTCACACGATGTCCGGACGATGTCATGGGCGAGAATGTACTGGCCCGATGGGAATTTATCGAAAGCTTACGTATGCTCACCAATTGCCCTTCTGAATGTGCTCTGATGGGAATTTTTGCAATTTTGAAATGGTATCCGTTGCCCCCAGTACATCCGGATCGCCCTCCCCCCAGGGTTCCCAGGCAAACGGACAAGAAAAAAATAGCTAGCAACGTAGCGGCCGCAGTAAAAGTAAATAAACTGGCAATGAATAAGCCTAAAATGCCTTCTGTCAAAAAATGAAAAGGGAGCATTCGATTAGAATTAAAATCCAAATAACGTAAACTACATAATAAATGTGAACGCTGTAAATACGCTGACCTAAATTTCGAAAACTTTTAGGCGTGCTGTACAGTGTCACCTTGTAGATGATGAGAGTTGTGCACCATGCAAAAGGCAAACATGTAACTTGCTCACAGATTATCTATGTATAATTTTAAATCGGGAATTAAACAGAAACGATACAGTAGAGCCTCGGGTGGAGAGCAGCCCCATATACGAGCATTTCAAGTAACGAGGGAGCCACTCGTAGAAAATTTGTTTCGATTGACAAGCTTCCGCTCCGCTAACGAACTCACGAATAGAGGCAAAGGTTCGCATCCCAGGTATTTGTATAGAAGAAGAAGACGTTCTGTTACCGTTACAACAGTTTCGATCACCAGAAGCGTCATTTTATTCTTTTGAGCGCTTAGGCTCATGTTCGCTTTTCGTTGACGGTTTACCTCTGATGATGGACTCCCACAAGAGCCTGAAAGCTCAGAAGAATAAAATGACGATTCCTGTGATCGAAACGCCTCCCTCTTCTAGTTAACGAACTGTCAGTGAGTGTGTGTGTGTGTGTGTGTGTGTGTGTGTGTCCATGTCCGCCATTGAGTTTTGCTCAGAGGGCGTGGGTCGTCAATCACCCGCAGTCAATCAATGAACTGGTGCAGTTTGGTTGGCTGCGTTTCGAAAGACGAGCGTTTCACACGGCGAGCTCGGTGCCGGAACGGAATAAACTCATTAACGGAGGTTCCATTGTATAAGGAAGTATTATAGCAAATAGGCCGTTCTAACACGCGACTGAGTATTTTCAACTGACGAAGACCGCCTGCATGCGGGACAGCTGCAGTACTGAGTACATTTACCTGAAGAATTCAAAGAAGAATAAGATAAGCAGTCTCCTAACAAGGCAGGTATAGTATACGAATAAACCTGTCCGCTAAGGCGACAGTGATGCCTGACCAGTTTAACCATACTTTTGGCGAAAAGCATTATTCCAACAGTTAAAGCCAAAAGTTTTTTTGGTATACTCCCATCAGTATCACAGCAACTTAAGTTTTACTCTTTGAGAAAGTCCTATAGTAAGTAATGAAAAGGTCACATTTGGCGATTCCAAAATCCCACAAGCTTGCTTTAGTCACGATCTGGAGCTTCTGCTACGCTGAGGTTTTCTGAGGCCAGTAGCCCGCTAAACATCACTGCATAACGAGATGCTGTGAGGCAGAGCGCACAGGGAAGCAGAAAAAAACCTTTAAACATCCTAAATAATGCAATAGTGCAAGTTGTTGTAAACAGAGCGCTTCTGTTTGTTTATGTTTCGAACGTTCTGATGACTTTTATGTATTTTGGCCTAAAAAATTCCGCCTAACCATAAGGCATCAACAGGTATCAGTTCGTGAGTAGGGAAGTTCGACCTCCAGAGTATTCCTTGAAGTTACGGCTAACAAATAGCCCCTTTACAGACCACAACTGCGTCCCTGTGCTCGTGTACAGCAGGAGTACAGTATTCCGTCTAAGGCAAAATTTCAGACGCACATCAAACGAAATTGGTCACTTCCTGTGCAGGTTTTTCTGTCATGTCAAAGATGACATTCCCCCTTTTTGCGTTTGTATGAGATAGAGAGAGAGAGAGAAAGCGGAGACAACAATGGCCACAGCAGTTCAGCTTACTTACAGGTTACTTGATGCTTTTGTAATTTGCACCAGTATTTCACAGCCTCACGGCGTCCTTTCTGTAATCAGTTCTAATGTGGCCGGAAACAAGTGCACCGACAAGAAAGACGACTTCCGTCCGTCTGTCCGCAGTAACTGTCGCTAACTCTTCAGAACACGGGTTTAATCGAATATCTTGACTGGAGCACAAACTGCACATTACGACCAAGGGGCTAATATATTTTTGATTGTCATATGCCGATATAATAGCGGATTTTACAACCAGAACGTCCTCCTAAATGTTGGCCGACTTAGCAGCAAATCCATATTCTGAATAGTCAAAAATATGCGACATGCAAATCCGTATCTATGCCAATATCTATAAATAATGAATTTCATTTCTGGTACTGAGTGGTTCAGTTTACGGTGGTCGATTGCTAGGTAATATTGACAACTTGAACGGGGTACTCATTTCTGGGGCAACACTTGAGGTGGGTATGACTAGCTGATGATGGCTAATAAACCAGAAATAGCCAACCCAGTCTCCATAGCCTTTGTCGGTAGTGTCCTTCTTCCTATATTATTAGCCACCTCGCGGCGTAGGCTCGAGTGTGATCTCTAAAGGCACCATGGACGGACGAGTGCGTCCTCTAACTGATCGGTGTACGCCTATCTACCACTGTATATTCCCGATCAGAAACAGACACGACAGTGAGCTCGTGACGCAGTGGTTAGAGCGTCGGACTTGTAACTAACCAGGTCACGCGTTCGAAACTCGAGCGGGGCACCAGTTTTTGGGGGCAACACATGAGTTGGGTCTGACTAGCTGAATACGGATGATAAGCCAGGAATGGTCATCCTAGTCTCCCTTCTCTTTGTCGGTAATGTCCTTCTACAACATCTACTGCTATGTACTCTACTTCACTTTTGGATATCTGTCAGTGCTTTTCAAAATTTTGGCGCATAAGAATTACCACGCATATAAACTGCAGATTCATTGCACACACTTACCCTGGCAATTTGGTGCAGGTGAAAAAAGAAGGTTGGACACCGTGTTCATT